AAAATTTGAGGGGAAAGAGGATGTGTGCTAGGAGGGGTGAAGTCAGGGGTGGACTGACAACTCATGGGGCCCCGGGCAATAGGGGATCATGGGGCCCCTGTGACCTTGCCCAAACTCAAAAAAGCCTATGAAAAAGGTACCAGTGGCATCTCATGGGGCCCCCTACTGACCCCAGGCACTCGGGCAGTTCCAAATGGTCAGTCCGCCCTTGGGTGAAGTAGAGTTATAGAAGTTTTATTGGGGTTTTTTTTGGTGGGGTGCAAGTAGCTGGTGTTGCCTTTTTTGGGGTGATGAGAGAGGTTATGCATTTTTGTTTTCCAGTGCATGGAGAACCAAACAGAGCTAGCATGGAACTGAGATGGATGACCAATGGGCTGTGTAAGATTGTCAGGTTCCATGGCTTCTCCTAGGGGTTCTTGAAAAAATAATGGTAGAAAAGCAGGAGGCAGCCCCTATTGAATCACTGGTAGCCATAATGTTTGTGACTCACTCGAATTGGTTCTTCAAAACCTTCCTCCCCCTATGGGTCTCTCTGTGTTTCTTGATGCATTTGAGGAGCTTACATTTTAGTTGTCTTGTTTTTTCTTCAGTTCTTTTTCTCTGGATATCATAAACTTACACATATAAAATAGGCTTCTATAGGACAACTTGAGGAGTTTCTTTCCACAGTGTTTGCAATTTTTCTTGCATGAATGTGCTTTTACATTGGACTAGCACTCTGTCCCCAGGTTCAAGGTCGATGGCTGACATTGCTGACTCTCTTTGCTCCACATATGACTGCTCTTTAATGAACTGTTTGTCTTCAAACATGTGTAATTTTCATTCATTAATCCAGGACAAATTATTATTATTATTATTATTATTAATAATAATAATAATAATAATTATTATTATACAGGATTTATATAGCGCCATCAGTTTACACAGCACTTTACAAAATGAAGGTAGAGATTACAGTTACAATAAAATTTGGTACAAAAGGAAACAGAGAGCCCTGCTCACTAGAGCTTACAATCTAGGAGGAAGGGCTGAGTGATACAAAAGGTAATAGCTGAGGGGTTTGAACTGATGGAGGAAATAATTGGCAGTTTATTAGTTAGAAGCAGGATAGGCTTCTTTAGAGAGAAAGGTTTTCAGGGATTGTCTAAAGGTGGATAGATTAGGAGATAGCTGGACAGATTGGGGTAGGGAGTTTCATTGGATGAGAAAAGCTTGGAAGAAGTCCTAAAGGTGAGCATGGGAGGAGGTGACACAGGAACTAGAGAGTAGAAGGTCTTGGGAGGATCAAAGAGAGTGGTTTGGTTGATATTAGAGACTAGGTTGGTGATGTAGCTGGGGGCAGAGTTTTGGATGGCTTTGTACGTTGTTGTTAGTATTTTGAATTGTATTCATTGGGGCGAGTAGAAGCCAGTGGAGGGATTGACAGAGAGGGGTAGCAGACACTGAACGGTTGGTAAGGTGGCTGAACCTGGCAGCAGTATTCATGATGGACTGGAGGGGAGATAGCCTATGTAAAGGTAAGCCAATGAGGAGGGAGTTGCAGTAGTAGAGGCGAGAGATAACCTGGGAGTGAATAAGGAGCTTTGTGGTATTATTGGTTAAAAAGGGACATACTCTTGAGATGTTGCAGAGGTTGAGGCAGCATGATTTGGACAGGGATCGGATGTGGGCCTGAAAGGATAGTTCAGAATCCAGGGTTACCCCTAGCACCCTGGCAGGGATGGGTTGATAGTGGTGCTATTGATCCTAACTGAGAAATCAGAGGAAGAGGCACATGGGGAGGAAATATCATGAGCTCAGTTTTGGATAGATTGAGTTTTCGGAAGTGGTGTGACATCCAGTCTGATATGTCTATTAGTAAATCGGTGATAAGTGAGGAAACTGATGGGGTGAGCTGAGTAGGAGATAGATTTGTGTTTCATCAGCATACAAATGGTATTGAAAACCATGGGAAACTATCAGCTGACCTAAGGAAGAAGTGCAGATCGAGAATAGGAGAGGTCCAAGGATAGAACCTTGGGGAACCCCAACAGTAAGATGAAATAGAGGAGGAAATAGAGTTGTAAGTGACACTGATGAGATGATGAGGCGTGATGAGATAGGTAACATTTGAACCAACAGAGAGTACAGTCACGGAGACCAAGTAAATAGAGTATTTTGAGGAGGAGGGGGTGGTCAACTGTGTCAAAGGCAGCAGAGAGGTCCAAGGGTAAGAGTACGGAATAGTTACCATTGGTTTTAGTGTCTTGTAAGTCGCTTGTGAGTTTTATGAGAGCAGTTTCTGTGGAGTGTTGTGGGCTAAATCCAGACTGAAGGGGATCGAGTAGATTATGTTTCCGGTTGTAGACTAGACATTCAAGGAGTTTGGAGGCAAAAAGGAGTAATAAAATGGGTCTTAGGTTGTTAAGATTGGAGGGGTCCAGTGTTGCATGTTTTAGAGAGTTGGGGAAGATGCCAGTAGAAAGGGAGGGATTGAAGATATGAGTTAAAGAATGAAAGATAGAGCCAGAGGGTGACCGTAGTATTTGCGAGGGAACAGGGTCCAGAGGACAAGTGGTTAGGTGGGCTTTAGAAAAAGGTTTATCAACCTCCTCTATTGAAGCTGGGTTAAACAAGGGAAGCTTAGATTGTGCAGGTGGACAAAGAGTGTAGGGTGAGGGAGATATCTGTCTCGTCATGAATTGTATCAATACTATTTTTGAAGTGATTAGCAATTTCCTGGGCAGTGAGTGAGTTAGTGGGTGGAGGTAAAGAAGGACGAAGTAGAGAGTTAAATGTAGAAAAGAGTTGATGGGGATTGCATGAGAGGGTGTGAATGAGAGTGATGAAATAGGTCTGTTTGGCAGTGTGGAGACAGGAATTGTATTTTTGAAGGGCAGGTTTATATTGGTCAAAGTCTTGCTGGGTCTTAGTCTTACGCCATAAATGCTCAAGAGAGCATGGCTACATTTTTGAGGCATCTGGTATTGTCTGTTTGCCAGGGCTGTAGTGGTCGTTGCCTAATTCTGTGTGCGGTGAAGGGGGTCAATGTGTCCATGGCGGATGACAGTGAACTGTTGTATAGATAAGTAGTCAGGTTGGGGCAGGACAAGGCTGAGATTTTGTCATAGAGACAATCTGTTGCTGAAAAAGAAGAGAAGGGTTAAGATATCATAGGTTTCTATGGGTAACTATTTGGTAGTTGGAAGACAAGTAGGATGAAGCCATGGAGAGAGTGAAGCTAATAAGGTAAGGTGATCAGAGAGAGGAAAAGGAAAGTTGGTGAGGTTACAATGAGAGCATAGGTAAGAGAATACAAGGTCGAGGCAGTTACCATTAGAGTGAATAGAAGCATGTTGTCCTTTGTTTTAGGTAAAAAGAACGGCTCAGAAGTTTAGAGGTAGCAGGGGTGTTAAGATTAACAGGGATGTTGAAGTCACCAAGAATGATTGTGGGAATTTCAGAAGAGAGAAAGTAAGGCAGCCAGGCAGAGAAGTCATCAAGGAAGCTTGATACTCATCCAGGAGGACAATAGATCACAGCAATTCTTAAAGAAACTGGAGAGAATAGACAAACAGAGTAAACTTCAAATGAGGAGAGGGACAGAGAGGGAGGTGAATGAAGGACCTGAAAAGTGGTTTGAGGGGATAGGAGGATTCCAACTCCACCTCCTTTCCATACAATAGGCCTGGGAGAGTGACCACCATGGGAGAGGGAAGCAGGAAAGGGAAAGTCAGATTCATGAAGCCAGTTTTCCGTAATTGCAAACAAGTTTAAGGAGTTTTTGATAAAAAGGTCATGGACAAAGGTGAGTTTGTTACAGACAGAGGCATTCCAGAGGGCACAGGAAAAAGGAAGGCTGGTTCTAGGAAGACAAGTAATAGTAACTAGAGTGTGTGGATTGTGGCTGCTGTTAGAGGATAGGGGGTGCTGGATGTGTTGATCAAAGGATAAAGATGGTGGTCTAGGATTTGGGAAAATGTCTCCAGTTGTTAGGAGAAGCAGAAGGGTGAGAGAGGTAATACAGGAGTATGACTTATATGGAGGGACATGTCCCAGTGTCTTGGAAGTTTTATTAGTGTGTGGGTTCCGAATTAGCAGGAGTTGATGAGTACAGTAATAAGGTGAAGACAGGAGTGAGGGTGATATATATATATAAGCTGCGGGGTGGAGGAGAGAGATTTTGAAGAGATAGGATACAACTATGAGAAGGAGGAATAGGCAGTGCATGTTACAGAGTGGTGAGATGAATAATCAGACAGGGTAAGAGCTAAAAGAGCTGGATGGGGAAACAGGTCACCTGTAGTTTGTTTAGTATTTGAAATTGTTGGCTTCTAACTTTGTGCATTCGCTGAAGGGCAGAGCCAAAATGCAATGCTCAATACTTAATCCAAGATCAATACTTTAGCCAAGATGATAGTTTCCAGATAGTTTTCCGCTCTCGCCTTGCTCAATAGCAACCCGCAGCAACTACAGGCAGCTGTGAAAGTCGGGTCACACACTGCTCCGACACCCAGCAACCCAAGGGGAAAAAAAACCCTAAAGGACCATGGAGACTCACAGAGTTCTTCCCGCGGCCTCACTCTGCACCCAGCCAAGATGGCGCTAAAGCAGGGACACAGGCCAAGCAGTCAGAGCTGCAGCAAGATGACACGTCCCTGTCCCCCTTGGCATCTGACACAGATATCGCAGATCCTTCCTTTCCGGTGAAAGAGATCGGTAAGAGACCAGCTACATCTCCTTTGCACTCACGCTGTACAAAGGCCCCAGCAGGGGGCTGACTGACCATTTAGTCACTCGGGCACTGCCCGAGGGCCCGGGGTCAGTAGGGGGCCCCATGAGATGCCCCTGGTACCTTTCATAGGCTTTTTTGGGTGTGGTTTGAGTATGGGTGAGGACACAGGGGCCCCATGAATTCCTATTGCCCGGGGGCCCCATGAGTTGTCAGTCCGCCCCTGGGCCCCAGTGAACAAAAAAAAAATCAATATACTTTTCTGATGAAAACCCAGGAATATCCGAACCTATACATTTAATGGCAAAACTACCAGCCTCAGATACCCCTATTACAGCCTCCCTCATGAAACAAATGTTACTATGATTATATAAAGATATACAGTTGGATCTGCAAAAATCAGTGCACCATATCCAATCACAAGTCACACATCTTGGAGAGCGTATAGACTCAACAGAAAGAAAAATTCAAGAATGTGTAGCAGCACATAATACCCTGATAGATGCATTTGAAGCACAATCACAGGAGCTCACAAAAAATTGCTCACATGGAAGATCGTTCAAGGAGAACAATGTAAAATTCAGGGTGCTCCCTGAATCAATAATCCCATATAAACTACCCCAATATATTTGGGGCGACTCCTTAAAACGCTTTTACAATCAATGTCACCAACTGAGCTTATTATAGATAAAGCTCACAGGTTACTGAAACGTAAGCATCTAGCTGATAACATCCCACAAGATGTCATTGCCAGAATTCATTATTACCATGCTAAAGAAGCACTCGGGAGGGCTATGAGGAATCTCAAAACTCTTCCAGCTCCATATGAGAAATTTGCAATATTCTCAGATATATCCGCATACACTGTACAAAAATGCAAAGAATTTAAACAAATCACAGTGGCACGTCTAAACCATAAAATAAAATACCAATGGGGGTACCCTAAAAAAATCTTAGCCACCTATCAAGGCAAAGTGACCCAAATTATGACTCCTACTGAAGGGCTGAAAGTTCTGACATCCTGGAATATTCCTATACCAACAGAACCACATCACATGTGCAAAGAAAAGCAAACCAAAATTCCATCAAAATGGAACACCATTCCTGACACTTGAACACTGGCTCCTTTGTCTTTTATACTGCCTATCTTCTTATTAATAGGGAGAAGATAAATCCTGGATATCTCAGGTATATTACACACCCCACGAATCAATGAGCCTGCTATGCATACTCAAATTTAGTGCACTTTTGTTACTCTTTTCAACTTGTTATTTTTTCATGTTACTACTATGTTTGATACATACTCCTTCCATTAACAAGAAATGCATATTTGTACTGCTGGATATATATATATGAGGAAATGTACGCACTCACAGACACAAGGGGGATAGCCAATGCTGTGCTCGGTACCTACATTCCCTAATATTATCTCTATATACTATAATGCAAACCTATAGAACCAAAAATGGTTTTTATAATGTCCCTTAACGCTAGAGGACTCAACAGCCCATACAAATGCACATCTTTATGGAGAGAATCCCTAAAATCTAAATGTGACATCCTGTGCATCCAAGAGACCCACTTCAATAAAACAAACCCACCCATATGCAAACACCGAAACGTCACTCACTACTTTTTTACAAACTCTGATAAAAAAAAAGAAAGCAATGATTGCAATAAAAGACACCCTTAACAATTCAAATTCATTCAATATTCTCAGACCCACATGGCAGATACATTATTTTAGTGCAAAAATGGACAACTCTTTAATGACACTAGTAAATGTATATGCTCCCAACAAGGGCATAAATCCTTCTATAAAACACTATCAGCCAAAATTTGCATAATAAGACAAGGAGCTTTAGTTATTTGTGGAGACTTCAATGAGATAATTGACATAAGTCTAGACTCTACTAACAAATCACAAAGACACTCCAACACCCTCTCCTCTTTTTTTAGAGGAGAAGATCTATACAATGCATGGAGATGTCTCCATGGAGAAGAAAAAGATTACACATATTTTTCCCAATCACAACAATCTTATTCATGGATCGACCTGCTATTAATAGATAAAAGGTCCTTACAACATATAACAAAAACAGAGATCGGATCAGTAACGTGGTCAGACCATGCCCCACTTACATCCAAACTCTTTAAACAGCATTGCCCAGCACCCACTCTATATGGAGATTGAACTCAGCCCTACTTACGAACCACACATACAAATCTCAGATAGACAAGGAACTACTCTCATACTTCAAAACTAACTCTAATGATGATATGGATGACTGTGTTTTATGGAATGCCCACAAGGCATACATAAGAGGAGTATTCATCAAATTGGGAGAATACGAGAAAAGGAGGAAAACTAAACAAATCACAGACGTCCTAACGCAAATTAAAGTCCTTGAAACAAAACACAAACAAAATCTTGACCAAATCACACTATCTCAACTACGTTCTCTGCGAGAGAACCTAAGACTCCGTCTTATCAAACAATACGATTTTATGGTGAAAAAATTGAAATTCCTTTCATACACACAAGCAAACAGAGCAGGCCCATACTTAGCAAAATCATTTAAAAAATTTAAATCTAAACCTAAAATTGCTTACCTAAATGATCCAATTAAAAGAAAATTGCGAACCTGCTAGATATAGCCAATGCATTTAGCAAATATTACGCAACACTATATATTACATAAAATTCACAGGAATTTATTCCACCCACGAATGAACATATCAAGACCTTCCTAGACTCACTATAACCCCCAAAATATCTACGGACCAATTAGAATCACTCTCACAACCCTTTACCATCGCCAAAATTTATAATGTCATTCAAAGTTTTCCAGCCCATAAATCACCAGGTCTAGATGGCTACACCAATGATTATTATAAAACATTCCATCCGACTCTCATTCAATATCTATGTAATTTTGCCAACAAACTAACTACGCCTGAATCCATCCCAAAAGAGAAATTAAAAGCCCTATATCACATTACCCAAGCCAGGAAAGCCTCCCTCATCACCTCTTAATTTCAGACCCATATTGCTTTTAAACACTGACACGAAAATATACGCTAAACTTCTAGCCATTAGACTTTCAGTCACTAATGCCAAAACTAATTAGCCCAGACCAAGTAGACTTTATTAATGGGCGTCAAGCATCGGATGGCACACATAAATTCATAAATTTAGCTCAATGGGCACACCATACACAAACACTTTCTCTGCTTATGTCACTGGTTGCAGAGAAGGCGTTCGACAGAATCTACTGGCCATATCTATACCTGATCCTTAAAAAATTTGGATTATCAGCAACATTTGGATTATGGCACTATACACTCACCCCAGTGCCAAAGTATGGACATCGGGACTACTATCAGAACCATTCCAGATCTCTAATGGTACTAGACAAGGGTGTCCTTTATCACCCATAATCTTCGCCTTATGTATAGAGCCGCTAGCAGAAGCAATACGTATTCAACATGACATCAAAGGTATCCAAATAGGACAAGTAACACACAAAATAGGACTATATGCAGACGACATCATAATTGCTATAACTAACCCCATATCAATAGTGGCACTAAATAAAATCCTAGCACAATTTAGCGCAATATCCTTATACGAAATAAAACGAAACAAAATCATCTATGCTACCTATAGAAATCTCATCTAAATTGCAGACACAAATATCATTGATCTCCCCTTTCTCCTTGGCAACTTCCTCTCAAATTACATACCTAGGAATACACACTAACATCTCCATACTTGTACATACTCAAAATCAGATTTTCAAACCTACTTATCAAAATTTCAGAATTATGCAAGGAACTATCCAGTAACTTTGTCTCCTGGGCAGATCTTTATACCACATATGGTGGGACTGTACACATATTAGCAACTTTTGGAAAGAAGTATTTTTACTTATAGTGCAAATTTCAAGCTCATCTCCAACTCCTGACCCAACCTTGGCACTCCTAGGTATAGGAATAGATTCCTGGCCTCCTCAATCCAGAACTATACTAATTCATACTTTGATAGCCGCAAGGCTGAGTATTGCAAGGCTCTGGAAAACGCAAACCTCACCATCCACTCAATCAGTAGTTGACTTATTGAACATAAAATTTCAGAATTATGCAAGGAACTATCCAATAACTTTGTCTCCTGGGCAGATCTTTATACCACATATGGTGGGACTGTACACATATTAGCAACTTTTGGAAAGAAGTATTTTCACTTATAGTGCAAATTTCAAGCTCATCTCCAACTCCTGACCCAACCTTGGCACTCCTAGGTATAGGAATAGATTCCTGGCCTCCTCAATCCAGAACTATACTAATTCATACTTTGATAGCCGCAAGGCTGAGTATTGCAAGGCTCTGGAAAACGCAAACCTCACCATCCACTCAATCAGTAGTTGACTTATTGAACATAAACATGGCCTTTGAAAGAACCTTTGCTTGGATACACAACTCGCTTGACTGATTTAAAAAAAATGGAAACTATGGCTCAAAGATCATCGATGTATTATGGTATAAAGCAATTCTTTGACGTACCCAATAAGTACACCCTCAACCACAGCTCATTCATCTTTTCACATTAATCTAAATATTCAACATCTCATCTAAAGAATCTGTATCTAAAGAATTATGTTATCTTGAAGGAAATATGTAATGTTAAAGACCTAATTCTCACCTTACTACTTTGTTCTAATTTCTATACTGCTCCCCTTCTCATAATTTCAACTTTCTCTCTCAAATTACTATACTACTGAAATCCCATCAACGCTATAGGAACTCTAAACAAATGTACTAACGATAGTAACAACTGTTGAAGAAAGATAACCTGTATCGTTTGTATGTAATTGTTAACATGCTTCGATTCTAATGTTTTAAATGTTACAACAAAGTATTATCATATTACGAAACCACTGCCTATTATTGTAACCTGATAAACGTTCAATAAAAATGAAAGTTAAAAAAAAAAAAAAGAATTAGCATTTATACATGGCATGGGCTATAGTACAGATGGCTATTGCTCGCAGACATTTACCTGTAGTGGGATAGAGAAGAGTTATTCAGGTGATGCAGAGCTAAAGTGCAATGCTCAATACTGAAGCCAAGATCAATACTTTATCCACGATGATAGTTGCCAATGCTACCCCTGGCTGTGTTGCCCCGGCTGTCAAGGTCTTTTGTGGTAACTGGGGCCCAAAAGGTCTGTGAACCCCCAAGAGTCAGGCAAAACATAGTATTGTACTGTGAATGGCCTGTCCCTGAATGTACCATGAATAGCTGTATTTCCAAAC